AGCATAAAGTAGTACATTAGTAGCAGTAGTAGTAGAGATAGCAGTATAGAGTTAGTAGCAGTAGTTAGCAGTAGTAGTAGTAGTAGTAGTAGTAGTAGCAGTAGCAGCAGCAGCAGCAGCAGCAGCAGCAGCAGCAGCAGCAGCAGCAGCAGTAGTAGTAGTAGTAGTAGTAGTAGTAGTAGTAGTAGTAGTAGTAGTAGTAGTAATATAAATACGAATAACAATGATACTATTCATTATAATAAGAGGAGGAGGTGGAGGAGGAGGAGGAGGAGGAGGAGGAGGAGCAGGGGGAGGACAGTCTGACCGTTCTTAACTCCAGGCGGCCTTGCTGTTACTCTTCGTTGCGCCGCCAGGCTGAGGCAGGGGCCCGCGCCGTTGCGCCAGGGCCGCCCCCTCGCCCCCGCGGTGCTCGCCTTGACCCCTCTCCTCGGCTCCGCGCCTGCGGCGACCCCAGCGGCACCCACCCCTTCCACGGCGACGGTGCACAGGCCCAGGCTCTGGGCCCCCCAGGCGGTGTGGTGACTGCAACGTGCGGTTTTCGGACGTCTTCGTCGGTTTTCGTGGGGCTTCTCGCCTCGGGACGCCTTGTTTCGAATCGGAAAACGCCATGAAGGTAAACTGTTGGCGCTCCGCGCGGATTTCTTGGATCCGCGCTGGGCCCCCCCCCGCGGCGCCTCCGGCGCCGCCCTTGGCGTGAACCGCGCGTCAGCCATGGGGGTCCAGCGCAGATCCAAAAAACCGGCGCGGAGCGCCAAATGTTTGGGCATCTGGCGTTTTATCCGTAAGGGTTTCGCCCCATGCCGCCGGTCCCCTGTCTCGGATAATGGGAGATGCAAAAGCCAAATCATGAGGTCTGGGCGTCGCCGTGAAGCAGTGTCGGGACCTGTTTGTTTTTCGACCCTGACCCTACGGATCTGCGTGAGGGGTGCCACCGAGTTTCAGAAGTGTGGCAAATCCCCTGTGTTGTTGGACCGTGACTGTACGGATCTGCGTGAGGGGTGCCGCCGAATTTCAGAAACGTGGCAAATCTCCTGGGTTTTCGGACCCTCACCCTGTCGGTCCGCGTGGGGGGTGCCACCGAATGTTAGAAATGTTGAGAATCCCTTCGGTTTTCGGACCCTGACCCCGCCGATCTGCGTAAGGGGTGCCATCGAATTTAAGAAATCTGGCAAATCCCATGTGTTTTTGGACCCTGACCCCGCCGATCTGCGTGAGGGGTGCCACCGAATTTAAGAAATGTGGCAAATCCTATGTGTTTTTGGACCCTGACCCCGCCGATCTTTGTGAGGGGTGCCAGCGAATGTTCAGAAATGTGGCAAATCCTGTGTTTTTGCACCCTGACCCCGCCGATCTGCGTGAGGGGTGTAAATTTTTACTCACCCCAGCAATTCAGAGCACACGCTCAGGGCGTGCTAAACCTGCCCGTTTGGGCCTTCCCGCCCTCGCGCGGTCCATCTACAGGAACAGTAAGCTGCAACTGGCACAGGAAGCTGCGAAGCTTCGGCCTACAGTCTGGTGGCCTCACAAGGGGGCCGGCGGATTATTATTGTATATCGAAGACGCTCACCGCCGCCCCCTGTCTTTTGGGAAGCGCCTCTGCGGCCCAAAAAAAGACCCCAGCTTGGCCAAGCCATCGGACCATGTGTTCCCCCCAGCCGTTCTGGAAACTCTTGGGGGAACACTTGGAGGAGGATGAGGAGGAGGATCTGGAGAGGGAGGACGAGGAGGAGGAAAAGGAGTAGGAGGAGGATCTCTTGGGCGATGTTGGGCTGTCGGAAGGCCGAAAAGAAGCAAATGCCCAAATCCCTCAAAAACCTATGGGGAATCAATTATTGTTGCCTCTCCGGGCCTTCCTGGGGGACCTTTTGGAGGCCTCGTGGGCTGTCTTCGGCGCCTCGTGGGGGCCTCTCGGGCCGTCTTGGGCCATCTTGGAGGCTTTTTGGGAGGACATGGAGCCATCTTCGACCCTCTTGGGCCATCTTGGAGGCCATCTTGGGCCATCTGGACCCCAAGGCCGCTTTTTGTTTCAGGATATCCCTTGCGAGACGGCCGTTGGGGAGGCACGGCAGCCACCTTTTCCGGGAGGTCGGCGGCACGGATCAGAGGCCCAGGGGAGAGTTCGTTTGGACAAATGACGAAACAAGACCGGCAGGGTTTGGCACGCCAGGCACCCCTGTGATGAATCAACAGGGGGCGGCGGATCGAAGACGCCTACGGCGAATCACCGCCGCCCCCTGCCTTTTTGGAAGCGCCTATGTGGCCGAACGTTGAGGCCAGACCTGCCAAGCTATCGGACCACGTGTTCCCCGAATCGGTTTGGAAAGCCTTCGGGGAACACGTGGGCATCTTGAAGGTCATCTTGGCCGTCTTGGAGGCCTCTTGGGCAAGCTTTGGGCGATCTTTGGGGCTTTTTGGGCCGTCTCGGGCCAGCTTCGAGCCAACTTCGGCCATCTTGGTGGGTTCCTGGCACGTCTGAAGCCGTCGGAAGCCGTTTGGGGGGCCTCTATGGGCCGACTTGGGGCCCGCTTGGAATGCTCCAGGGCCGTCTTGGAGGCCATCTTGGGCGTCTTGGAGGCCATCTTGGGCGTGTTGGAGGCCTCTTGGGCCCTCTTGGGGCCCTCTAGGGGCCATCTTGGAGGCCACTTGGGCCATCATGGGGCTCTCTTGGGGGCCTCTTGGGCGATCTTGGGGGCTTCTTGGGCCGTCTTGAGCCGTCGGAGAGCCGAAAAGGCGCAAATGCCAAAATCCTTCAAAAACCAATGGAAAATCAATGATTTTGGCCTCTTCGGACTCTCCTGGAGGACCTCTTGGAGGCCTCTTGGGCCGTCTGGGAGGCCTCTGGGGGGCCTCTTGGGCCGTCTTGGGCCGTCTTGGACTCTCTTGGGCCGTTTTGGAGGCCGTCTTGGACCATCTCGGGCGGACTTGGAGGCCATCTTGGGCCATCTTCGCGATTTTTTGAGGATGCCCCGAGCGAAACGGCCGTTTTGGGGCATTGACAGACGCATTTTGGGAAATTTACGAGTGGCCGGCGGGACGGGCCGAAGCCCACTGGGGAGTTATTTTAGAAAAAGAACCAAAACCAAAAACTGAATCATCCAGCACGCCGTGCACCCCTGCAAGCAGGGGGCGGCGGATCTAGTGGCTTTCGGTCCATCCAGCCACCGTGCCTTGGTTGTAGGCCAGGGGCCTCTCGGATGCCCGCGGGTGTCTTGGGAGGCCTTCTCGAAGCCTCCTCGAAGCCTCTCGGAGGCCGTTGTGGCGTGTCCTGGGGAGCATCTCGGGGGCCTCTTGAGGCATCTTTGGACCCGACTGGGGTCCCTTGGGGGCCTCCTAGGGCTTCTGATGTCCTCTTTGGGGCCTGCTGGCGGCCTCGGGGGCGGAGGGCTCGAAACGTTGGTTCGTGTTCCCTCTTGGGGTTCTCTCAAACTCTTGGGGCCCTCTTGGGCCGTCTTGGGGGCGTCTCAGGTCGTACTGAGGGACCCTCTTGGGGCAGCTTGTGCCGCCGTGGGGCCACCTTGGGGGCCCTTGAGGCCGTCTTGGAGCGTCGGCAGCCTGAACAGGCGAGAACGCTATAGTCTGTCAAAATCTGTAGGAACCGTAACCGTAGCTATTTTGGATCAAGTTCTCGTCTCGCGACAAAACAGTTACACACTCTGTCCATATACGTCTTTCGTGCCTATGGTGGCCATCAGGCTCCCCATAGTCGTGATCGCCTGTCTTCTTCTGCCAATTCGCGGTTGGGAGAGTGTGGCCGATAACGTGCCGTCCGACGTGCAGTTGATCCAGACTCGCGTCTACGACCAGGCCTTCGACGTGCCAGCGCATGGATCGACGAGTTGTGTAGACAACGATTATGGCGCCGTCCAACTTGCAAAAGATCATGCGCGTGTGTCTGATGTCAGTGGTTGTTCGGACGTCGGCCCGTACTGTGCAGACGCGAATTTGTCGAGCCAGGTTCTTGCAGTTTGCTGCGCCACTTGCAGCGAGGGGCCCAAACCAGAGCTGGGCGTGGTGCATTGCCAAGATCATTCTGATTGCCAGGCTTTGGAATTTTGCTATGATGGTACGTGCGACAGCTGCAGCCAGTGCCAATTCTGCTCCGATGCTGCTTACGTCGACGAGTGTGGGCACTGCGGGCCAGGGTTTCCAACGAATGAGACGATTCCCTGTCACTCCCATGAATACGAGGTCATCAAGGGGCCGCTTACGGTGACGCATGCATGGAAAAATTTGTCCTCAGAAGAGCAGCTGCTCTTTCTCGAAACAAAGTTTGGCGAACTCGACAAAGATCAGTCTTCGACCCTGGACGTGGACGAACTAGTGGGCGCCCTAATCGGAGAGGACCTCGTCGCGATCGAATCCGCCAACGGCACGCTCAACACCCCCTTTGACCAAGTGCTACTTCCCAGGGCTTCGGTGCAAGAGTTTGTGGAGAAGCACAGCGCCCATGGCAGTGCGTTCTTGACCCTCGACGAGTGGCTCGCCACAACTCCTCAGCTGGCACAGCGAGCTGCCCCCCAGAAGGCGTTGCGTGGGCCTTCCTGTACCTTCGAGAGTATCTTCTCACTTCCCAGCTCCTGCTCGGAAACACAATGGGTAAACAATTGCGGGAACTCTTGCAATAACGCTTGTACCAGTTGCCCGAGATTGGCGCATACGAATTCGAGCGCTGTTGCGCGAGTTTCTCGAGATTCGGGCTCCGTTGCGCGAACGTCGCAACAGCTTGAGTTCTGGGGCGGGAGGCGCCGGCGTCGTTGGTGGGACGCCGTCGTGAATGTGGTAAACACAGTCGTCGATGTGGTCGTGTGCACCGTGAGCTGCGTCACCAACTGCGTGTGGTCGTGTTTCACCGAAGCTGTGGAGTACGTGTACACGTGCGTGGTCGACACTGTCGTGAATGTGCTCATGAGCTTCGGAGAATGTCTGTCAGCTGTGGTGAACGCTGTCAACGATGCGGTTGGTGACATGTGCGGCTTCGATCTCATCCCCACCAGTTGTTCTGGCGTTTGGGATTGCATTTCGGAGGGGGTGAGCAACGCTCTCTCATTCTTCGAGTGTGGATTCTCGATGCTCTTGGATATACTCGAGAACATGGTCATGGCAAATCTCCGCTGTCTGCCGAACATCGCCGACGGCATCAGGGCTGCCCTATTCCCTCCCGAAGCGATAATTGCTACTACAGTTTTCGAGGCTTTGTGGAACTTCGGCGAGAGGGTCGTGAACGGGATCTACTCAGAAGCTGCGGCTGTGAGCATCGACTTCTGTTGGAATTCAGCCCCCACCGCCGAATTCACTGACTGTGGTGCCTTCGATTTCGTCAGCAGTATGACCATTTGGGACGTGCTTGACGTTTTCGGGATGGCCAAACGTTTCGCGGATACCGTGGCGAAGTTCACTAATTGCCTCACGAAGAGTACAAGTTTCCCAGGGCTCAGTTTCGGCATCCCCACTCCCTTCCTGAACGTTGACTGGACAGGAGGCTCGTGGTGTGCGCCAAGCTTTGTCCAAACTGCTGCCAAAGGAGTCATTGGCGTGTTCAGGTACATAGCTTCAGGACGGATGCTCGATGACCTTATCGTTGTAGGTGACAACCTCCTTACCAATCTTCAGACGAGGCTGGAAGCAGTGTTCTGTGACGAAGGCGACTTTACCGTCACATTGGGCGTCGACCTCCAGTTCGGATACGCAGTTCTTGGAATCAAGGCTCAGGCTGGATGCCTCAACGGAAGATTCGCCGCCAAGATTGTCGGTTTTGCCACGGGCAGAATTTCCATCTTTGGTGTGCCGTACAAGTGGGAGCCATCTGCCTCCGCGTTCTTCAGTATCGGTTGTACAGCGGGGCCCTCCAGCACGGAGTGGTCATACTGGGAGTCGTCTCTGAACGGCATCCTGGCATTCGATATTTTCTCCGGTACGGTTTCTCTGCCTCTCTATCCACAGCCGAAGCTCCAGTTTGGCTACTCGTTCTCGCTCAAACTTTGGCCCCAACCAGCCCCGCCCCCCCGCCTGTCGGAGGGGGAGTTCAACAAGACATCGCTGCTGCCGGCGCTGCGCCTCCTCTCTGGGGCTACGTCCGACCCCAGCTTCGGCGAAGAAGTCAAGAGCAAGTTCCCAGACCCCAAGCCGATCCTCGAGGGGGCCCGCAACGGCTCGCTCGAGAGGTCCAACATGAACAGGAGTGCTGGTGACCTCGCTGGCAGGATCGCCATCTCCGTCACGAAAAACTTCTGTTTTACTTGCGACGATTTCGGATCGGAGCCTGCCTGGGTCACGGGCCTCTCCAACATGGCTCAGAAGTTCGCCTGCGCTGTGGGCCAGGCGATGGCGGGAGCCTCCTGGGGTGCGCTGAGCCTCGCCCAGTGCTTCGCCCGGGTGAAGCAGTGGGAGGCGGCCGGGAACTACTGCGAGTATTTGTACTCCGACTCGCCGAACGATGGCTCTGGCAGCCTGGGGACCACATGCGCCTGTATGCCGCCGAATGCGATGACTTCGGGGGCTTGCTACGCAGCGGTTGGAACCAGGGCCAGCGAGGGGTCTGCGCAATTCGTGACCTACAGGCATCAGAGGCTGACTTGCGAGACTGGGAGCGGAGCGGCATGCAAGACTTGTGTCACGCCGCAGGACCGAGTGGTGAGAGACCAGTGTGAGACCTGCAACGACGGCCATATACTGCTCGGCTACGTGTGCTCGGCCTACACGCCGTCGCCGACGCCCAATCCGACGACGTATCCGACGCCAAGCCCGACCCCATATCCAACGCCATATCCGACGCCAAGTCCGACGCCATATCCGACGCCATATCCGACGCCATATCCGACACCTTCTCCGACGCCAAGCCCGACGCCAGAACCGACGCCCAGCCCAACGCCACTGCCACCCGGCGCCACGCATGTTCCGACGCCAATCCCGACGCCAGAGCCGACGCTGTATCCGACGCCAAGCCCGACGCCAGACCCGACGCGGTATCCGACGTCAAGCCCGACACCAGACCCGACTCGGAATCCGACCCCAAGCCCGACGCCAGAACCGACGGCGACCATAGCGACCTGCGTGGACGTTCCAGGGTGGGCGAGCAAGGATGGTACACCTTGCTCCTGGTATAACACGGCCAATGTTTGCACCACGTCTGGAGGCTATGCATCGGGATGGCAGCCTTATTGGGGCACATTTGCAGATTGGGCGAACGATGGATATGACGGTTCGACAGCATGCTGCGGTTGTGGTGGGGGCACGTCACCGACTCGTTGCCAGTACATCGAGATCCCTTCAAATACATTCGGATATGTTCAATTGCCGTACAGCAGCAACATTCGAGCTTTGTCCATGTGGATTGCGCCGTACAAGGATGGAGGATACCCCTGGGAGTACATATTTGACGCACGTACCGGATTGGGCAATGGATATTTCTCGTTTCTCGATTGGTCATCTGGCAACGCGCATATCCAGAAGGGCAGTGATTGGAGAGATACTATATATGTCAACGGAGTTGCCGCTACTACTAGCACCTTGGTTGCGAGTGTCAATAGTGCCACGACCACCTACGCACCGTGGATTCACTTGTACGTATCGTCAGACAGAAATTTCGGCGACGATATAACGGTGTTCGCCCGATACTCGCTCAATGAGAATTTGCCTGGAAAGATCCATTCTGTGCAATTGTGGCCGTCTGAGTTGTCCTCTTCTGACATTTTGGCCGCGGCTTCGGGACAGACGACATCAGTAACGCCCACGCGTTCTTTTTCCGCCGCAGACTTAAGGTTGTACAGATCGGGGACCGCGTCCCTCGTCGCCAATCAGGTCGGCACTACGCAGTGCCCGCCAAGTCCGACGCCAGCCTCGACGCCGCATCCCACGCCGAACCCGACGCACAGCCCAACGGCACACCCGACGCCGAACCCGACGCGCAGCCCGACGGCGCACCCGACGCCGAACCCGACGCGTAGTCCTACGGCACACCCGACGCCAAACCCGACGCACAGTCCGACGGCACACCCGACGCCAAACCCGACGCCGTTTCCGACGCCAAGCCCCACGGTAAGCCCAACGCCGTCTCCGACGCAGTATCCAACGCCAAGCCCGACGCCAAGCCCGACGCCGAGCCCGACGCCAAGCCCGACGCCATCTCCGACGACAAGCCCGACGGCAAGCCCGACGCTGTCTCCGACGCAGTATCCAACGCCGAGCCCGTCGGCAAACCCGACAGCAAGTCCCACGCGGACTCCAACGTCTGCGCCCACCTATCCCCCGCTTGGGGACGTGCATGCATCAGGTACTTGTAGCTGCTCCAGCCCCCCCTGCGGATGTAACTGTTGGGATTGCACAGAAGCGCGTCAAGCTGCTGGATGTTGCAGTTGCGAAGATGGGGGGAGTTGCGGGTATGGCGATACAATGACTTTGTGCGACGGTTGCATGGGTTGTTGGTACAAGGGCAAATGTGGTTGCAGTACTGATTCAGTTACTTGGCCCTTCTATGATGTGTTCGGTCTCACGTGCTCGAGTGACGCAGGCAGCTACTTGTCCTACCATGCAGTGCCACCGACCTCAAGCCCGACGCCGAGCCCGACGCCAAGCCCAACACCGTTGCCACCCGGCGTCACGTTTTCTCCTACCCCGAATCCGACGCCAAGCCCGACGCCAAGCCCCACGCCAAGCCCGACGCTATCCGAAACTCAGAAAACTTGCGGCTGCTCGAACCCACCCTGTGGTTGCAATTGTTGGGATTGCACAGCAGCGCGCAAAGCTGCTGGATGCTGCAGCTGCGACGATGGCTGTGGCTATTTCGATCTCGCAGATTCTACATGTGACGGCTGCAATGGTTGCTGGCACGGCGGCCTATGTGGTTGCAGTACAGATTCCTCGACTTGGCTCTACTATCGGGCATTCGGTCTCTCGTGCTCCAATGAAACGGGCAGCTACCTGTCCAATCACGCAAAGGTTGCTGGCGAGTACTCCGCGGAGGAATCACTTCCAGACGGCGTGACTGCGGAGGACCTCATGAGTTCCACAACCTACGTGTCCGCCAAGAAGACCGGTCTGGCTAATGCTCTGAACGTGTCCGTTTCCGACGTGGAGATCACGGGCTTCGTCGTCACGACCCATCCCGATCGGCGCCCCGCTGCTGTCCGCCAGCTATCGCGGGACTCGCACGTCACCGTGACAACGAGTTTCACGGTGGAGATCGTCGGCAGCAAGAGCGCCGCGTCCCTAACCGCCGCGATCGTTGCGATGGCTGACACCATTGAGGCCGAGACGAACGAAGCTATGGCTGCTTCTGACTGGAGTACTGAGCCGGTCATTACTGTGGCCCCCACGCTGACGGCTCCTTCCGTGGGTGCAGCGGGTTCGACTGCGGGCGTGACAACTGCTCCCACGCCGGTTCCCGTCATCATTGGGGCCAGCATGGGCGCCGTCGCGGCCACCGGCGACCCGCATCTGCAGAACATCTTCGGCGAGCGTTTCGACCTCATGCAGGCTGGCAGGCACCTCTTGGTCCAGATCCCGAGGGGCGCGCGCACTGAGGTCTCCCTGCTGCGCGTGGAGGCGGAGGCGCAGAGGCTCGGTGAGTTGTGCGCGGACATGTACTTCCAGGAGCTGAATGTGACGGGAAAGTGGGCGGACGAGAAGCAGGCTGGCGGTCTCAGGTACCGCGCAGCAGAGGCCGTCACGGAGGATCCCAAGTGGGTGCATGTTGGGAGTGTGGACCTGAAAGTCGTGCACGGACGTACGTTGGAGGGGATCCGGTACCTTAACGTCTACGTGAAGCACTTGAAGCAAGCCGGGTTCTCTGTCGGAGGCTTGCTGGGCGAGGACGATCATAGCCAGGAAGCGACCACTCCTGAAGGTTGCAGGCATCGTCGGACGAGCCTTTAGCCAAGAAAGGACGGCCCGAGCACGGCCGCCGTCTGTATCATGGAGCCTAGCTGGGCCAGCCTGGCGTAGGGTGCGTTCTCGGTCCCTGTTGATGCTCCTCTGGGCGGGACAACCTCCCTCACTGGCCCAGGGCGGAGGCGCACGGCCAGCTCCACCCCTTCTTCTTCCCCCCCCCACTCCTGCTCCGATCACCCTTTTTGCGCTGAGCGGCGCTTCCTCGTGCTGAAGACTGAAGAGCACGTTGGCGCTCACAGGCCCGGTGCGGATGCGCACGGCCAGCTCCGCCCCCCACATTCGGCGAAACTGTATACGTCCGGCTGGGTGGGCGACTGCGCACCGAGGCGTTGCTATTTCGAAGCCTGCCTCCCTCTCCTCGTCCCCGTCCCCTTCCTCTCCTTGCTTCCTCCCTTTGGCTCTTTCCACACTCCCTTCACTGATCATTGCCTCCTGCTGCGACTACCCTTTTTTGAGCTGAACGGCGCCTGCTCGTGCTGAAACACACGATGGCGCTCGAGGCAAGCAAACAAAAACATCTGTAGGAACAACGATGATCGTGGCGTCTCGGGGTCCTCTCGGGGGACCTCCTGGAGCACTCTTGGGGCGTCTCTTGGGGTCCTCTTGGGTCGTCCAGGTGCCGTCTTTTGCGTCTTCGGAGCGGTCTTCGGGCGACTCGGGGCCCCCTCTTTGGCCGTCTCGAGGGGCTCTTGGGGCCCTCTTTGTCCGCCTTGGAGCCTTCGTCCTCGTCCATCCCAAAAGCTCAGCGATGACTCGCGCCAGGACCGAGACGCGCCCACGAACGCGCAGAACTCGGGGATGTATGCCCCGCGAAGAGTACTCGCGCTCCATACAGGGGGCCCTCAGGGACCCGATGACACTCCGCTTCGAGCCTCGGGGCACGGTGGCGGATTTACAGGGGGCAGCGATAACCCCATCCCCGAAAGGGAAGACAGGGGGGTTGCGGGCGGACAGAGGCATACGATCGAGGTCGGTTCGGGGAGGGTACCCTACTGTGTTCTTTGTGTTTGCTGGATGCTCTTCGTGCATCCTGGGGGAGGGTGCCCTTAAATGTTCTTCCGTTTGGCCCGCGGGCTGTCTCACGTTCTTGAAGGATGTTCTTCTGTCCTAGGTCTGGCCGCATGGGGGCAGCGATAACCCCATCCCCGAAGGAGAAGAAGGGGGGTTAGAAAAGGAAGGGCCTTAGACTACTAGCAGGGAGTCTTTCCATCAGCATGCATGCACGTGTACAACGTCTCTTTGAGGCAGTGACAATGTGCCAGTTGCGGGACTGCTCGTTGTGATGGTTTTCGTGCCTTGTCAGTCAGTTTCGCGATGTATTAAGACCTACTCGTTTTGATTGTGTGATGTGGGTGTGCCAGAAAGTGTTCTGCAACCGATGCAATACTGCCGTGTTTGCTTTTGCATGCTATTTCTTGTTCCAGTCGTCCGAGTTCGTCGGCCAGACAACAAAGGTGGTGCAACTTTTGCCGACATCTCCTTCTCCCATTCCCTCTTCTCTCCTCCCTCATCGCCTGCTCACTCCCTGGCTATTCTCCACTTTTTGCTCATGTCCCGTGGCTGACAGCTGTACATTGACGCTTAGCGCATCCCCACCAGCCCATCCAGTAACGATCAGCAGGGGAGTTGGTAAATCAGGGACGGCTGGAAGCATGCAGTTGCGCCGCCGTCTTCAGAAAAACAAGGATCACAAATAGCTTCCCGCATTGAAGTTCAAGATGGAAATCAGTGCAAGAAGCCGTCCCGCCCGACCCCCCCCCATGTGAGTCCGTTGAAGAATCGGATGTTCTATTCTATGGGGGTCACTTTGCACATGTGCTCAACCCCCTCCCCACCTCCTTTAAAGACGCCGTGTATTCCGATGTATATAATATAAGCGGCGTTCGGCTCCCCCGGCCGGGGGGCAGCACATTTTTCCAAAACTTCCCCCCCCCCCCGTAACCCACTTTCGTCCCCGGCGCCGGCGGGCCTTTTTGAATCCAGGGCGTTCCCTGTGCCTCGAGGGTCCTCCTCGGCGCTTGCGGAGGACGCCCAGAGGCCGCCAAGACGGCCCATGAGCGCATCAAGCCGCCCAAGATGACCCCATGGTGGCCCAAGAGGCCTCCAAGAGGCCCCATGACCGCTCCCGGAGGACCTTCAAGAGGGCCCCAAGGAACCAAACTCATTGATTTCCATGGTGTTTGTGTTCCAATGTTTTTCGCGTTCTCGCCATTTCGGGCTTCCGACACACCAGGACTGCCCAAGAAGCCTCCAACATCGCCCCAAGAAACCGCCCCAAGAGGCCCCCGAGACAGCCCAAGAGGGTCCCCAAACGGCCCAAGAGGCGCTTAAGACGGCCCAAGAGGGCCTCAGGACGGCCTCAAGAGGAGCCGAAGAGGAGGAACGCGAACCGACAAGTCGAGCCATCCGCACCAAGAGGCCCCCAGGAGGCTCCGAGAGGCCCCCAAGAGGCCCCCAAGATGCCCCAAGGGAGCCAAAAGAGGCCCCGAAGAAGCCCAAAAGAGACTCCCAAACGGCCCCCCGGATGCTTCAACACTGGCCCTGGGCATCCTCGGTCCCTCTTGGAGCACCTCGTGGGGCAATTTTGGCGCTACTCTTGGAGCTCTTTATGAGCTCTCTTCGGCCTCCTTCTGAAGCCTCCTCGGCGCACTTCTTGCGGCACTGTCGGACCTTCGCCTCGGGGCCCTTTTCGGAACCTGTTCGGCTTTTGTGAGGGCACTTCCTTGGACTCTCTGGAGGCCGCTGTGGGGCCACCTGCGTGCTCTCTTGGGACGCCTGTTGAGGCCCTCCTGTATGTGGCTTCTTGGGGCCCTCTTCAAGCCTCTCTTGGGACCCCCTTTGGGCCCCTCTCAGGGCGCTTTTGGGATCCTCTTGGATTGCCCTTTGGAGTTCTCCGCCACACCCCCCTGGGGCGCCCTTGGAATCTTCGTAGCGCGCCCTGTCCGAAACCGTCTCTGAACGGCTCACGTTCTTAATGCTCATTCACCCTATGTTGGGATCATTTGTGGGTAAGTCGTGACGTTGCATGTGTGCATACGCATGTGTACGCAAGTGTGAGATTGTCAAGGGCTGCAGCTTGCTAGAACCTAAGCGCGCGCGGAACGCGCGCGTGGTTCTGGTTCTGCTCTATGCGGCGCGATGAGGGTGATGAGAAGGAGGGGGGAAGCAGGAAGGAGGAAGGAAGGAACGGCATCTGACAAGAAGGATGAGAAATCGAATGTTGGGCACATGTTCTTGCGAGAGGTTATTGGAGAACTCCTGCGGCCATCTTGTGGGCTCTTTGGGCTCCCTGTGGGGCTCTCTTCGGGGTCTATCGGGGGTCTCTTGCGGTTCTCTTGAGGCTCTCTTGGGGCTCTTTTTGGGAGGGGGTCTTGGGGCCCTCTCGGAGCTCTTTTTGGTCTGGGAGGCCTCTTGGGGCCGTCTTGGACCCCTTCTCTCAAAAAGAGGGGGTATTACATTCAGTCCCCCCCCGCCCTCCCCTCGGAGGCCCAAAAGGGTCGTCTTGACCGCTCTTGGGGTTTTCTCGGAGCTCTCTTGAGGCTCTCTTGGGGCTCTTTTGGGGGGTCTTGGGGCTGTCTTGGGGCTCTTGTTGAGTGCCTGGGAGGCCTTTTGGGGCCGTCTTGGGCCCCTTCGCTCAAAAAGAGGGGGGTCTTAGATTTAGCCCCCCCCCACCCCCTTCGGAGGCCCCACAGGGGCGTCTTGGGGTCCTCTTGGACCGCTCTTTGGGCGCTCTTGAGCGCTCTTGGGGCTGTTTTGGTGCCCTCGTGGGCCTCTCTTGGGGCTTTGTTGGGCCATCTTGGGGCTAGCTTTGACGCCTCAAGAGCCCATCGGAAGCGAACAAGCGAAAAGGCAACCCACATTGATTTTCCTTAGTTTTTGAACCCATTTTGGCCTCGTGGGGGGGTCCTTGGAGGGCTCGGAGGGCACTTGCAACCGTCTTGGGGCCGTCTTGGGGCCTCTTGGATGCGTGTTGGAGGCTATCTTGAGCCGTCTTGAGGTATATTTGGCGATCTTCGGGGCCATCCTGGGCTAGCTAAAGCCCTCGTGACTCTAAAGCGAGCTGGGGACACGGGGAGCGGATGCGAACGTGTGCCCGCGGCCGCGTTGGCTCAAGCGGCCGGCCGCCCAAACGTGACTGCGCCTCATTGCGAGGCATATTACTCGCCATCGAGACCAAAATCATCTTCCTACTGCTTAAGATGGCACGCCCTCTTCTACTGGGACTATCGTTACTACGGTACAACAGAGCTGGGGCTGAAGCTGTTGGCTGGGTCTCCCAACCCTTTCCGACTTGGTAGCGGAGCTGGCCTATGGTGGTCAGCTCTAGCTCTACGCCTCACCATCCACGGCACTATTTGGTGGACTACAGACGTGGTGGAACATCAGAGTGCAGTGGGTTTGCGCGGAGGAAAGTTTTGAGGCTTGGGGCCGGCTTGGAGGCTTCTTTGGCCGGTAATGGGGCCTTTTGGGCTGTATTGGCGGTTCCTTTGGCCGTCTTATGGTTTTTTGGACCGTCTTGGAGCCTTCTTGGGTGTTTTTTGGCCCGTCTTGTCGGGCGAAGAGAACTATGCACATGCCCCGAGGCCCAGCCTTGACCCAGGATCGGTGCATATGCCTTCCTGGCCAAGGTGGGAGGGCGTATGCACCGATTCTGGGCTCAGGATGAGCCTGGCCAGAATCGGTGCATGTGCATAGTTCTCTTTCCTCTATCTTGGACGTAGTAAAAAAAGTCAACAGTGAGCATGATAAACGTAGACGTCTACCGAAGGGAATTGGACACTTTTGTCATCTTCGGCCGTTTTCCAGGAGCCAATTGTAGGTCTCTGGCGGCGTCTTGCAAACATCCAGGACCGTTGGGGACCACTGCGGGAGTTTTGAAACGAACTTTCGGCGATTTGAGGACCTCGTGGGTCGTGTGGCGGGCCTCTTGGGAACCCTCAAGGGCTCTCATAGAGCTGTAAAGGAAGCCCGGGGAGCCCGGGACTCATCGCGACGTCGCCGGAAGACGTGCGGTACCGCGTGGATGAATTTGTCGACGCCGTCGCCATTTATGCGAACCAGGAGATTCGTTGCAACGTCGGGAAGCAGAGAGCTGTGCAGTGGGCAAAGGAGCGAGGGGAACAGCTGGTCTGGGTCGCAGCCAGAGATCGCCCGAGCCATGGCGGGGAACAGAGGCGCCCGCACACGGCGGAGGGCAAAATACGGTGGCCAGGGTTCCATGACAAGGAGTGCGAAAGTTTGCCAAGGTGGTTGCTTCTGGCGAAGTGGATGCCGGTAGCTTTGGCAGATAACTCGGAGCGGTTGAGGAAGCAGTCGTTGCGGAGGCGCGCAGCGACGATCCATGGAGGGGCGTTGCACGGGGACGAGGTCTTGGGAGATGACGACGAGGAAGTCTTCGTGCATCTACTGAGAGTGCTTGTGTTGGGCTTTCGCATGAAGGAGTGGCACCTGCCAGGCTGGAAGCCGGGTCTGTATCCGATCTTCCCATCGAAGGGGCGGCAATGGTTCTTG